AGAAGCTAGTTGTAAACGTCAGAGACTTGATCGAACAGGAAGTTTTCACCTGCATTAGTGCAAGCATCAAATGAAGTCGCGATAGAAAATACCAAGCAAAAAAAAAAAAAAAATAGAAAATCTCATCAAACGCTGCATGTACGTAAATGTTAAATAACACATTTTTATTGAAATTAAGCTTTCAACATTGTTTGCTTTCCAAGTTGATAAATCAACAGACGTGAGTTCGTGTTGGCAGTTGCTGGTCGGTGTCTATATTCATGCGGATGATAACAAAGAAGAGTTGCTATTTGGTGAAGATAGCATGGAGAAAATAAATACGTTTTTTTTTAAACGGGATGATTAAAATGGGTTAGACCGGCTGTGGGGGTTTGTACGGATGGTGCGCCTTCTATGTTTAGCTCAAAATCGGGCTTTCAGAAAACAGAAAAGATTTAGTTCCTTAACCACTGCCCTAACCAATCGACATCAAGAGTCCATTGCTAGTATAAGTCGTAAATTATATAAAATCTGGAACCTTCAAAGACAGAGTTTCTTCCAGGCATCTCTTCGAGGGGCGAAACCCCCCCCCCCCCCCCCCCCCGAAAATTTTTTACCGCCCCCCCCCCCCCCCCGAACGAAATGAAATTTATATAATTTATATAGAAAATATATACTTTTAACAGTGTCCGCCCCCCCCCCCCGGAGAAAGTTTACCGCCCCCCCCCCCCCCCCCCGAAGATTTCAAATGCCCCCCCGGAGAAAAAAAGTCTGGAAGAAACACTGTTGAAAGAGCTGAGCAAAAACATTATTATAGATCACGAGGTTCTGCTCTTCTACACTACAGTACGCTGGCTGTCAAACGAAATGTTGTAAATTGTGTTTTTGAATTGAAATCTGAAATCAAATTGTTCTTGGAAGTGCAAAGGAAACAAGACTTTTTGATATACTTAAAACAACATAGAGTGGCTGGAGAGAGTATCATACCTAGCAGATGTGTTCGAACATCAAGATTAGCTTAACCTGAAGCTTCAGGGGGAATGAACAATATTATAACTTTCCATGATAATCTCGGGGCATTTTTATCAAAGCTGTAAAATCGGTAAAGAAAATAAATCTTGGAAATATTGTAAATTTGAGAAACTCTGCTGTGTGGTAGATGAATCTGATTGTGAGATAATTAAAATTTTGAAAGAAGCGATTTCTGGGCATCTTGAATCTCTTGAAAATGAACTGCATCGCTATTTCTCTGAGCTGAAAAAAGAAGAATCTGCATTTACGCATTACCCATTCTCTTCTTCCCTTAATGTTTCCAGCATTCCCGATGAATTACAAGATGAATTCTTTGATTTGCAGAATGATTCCGAGTAAGATGAAAAACTGCAGACACAATTTTGGTGTAGTATTCACCATTCATACCCAAACGTAAAATTGATTGACTTTTCGAGAATATATTTTCAACACTATTCTTCGATTAAAAACAAAATTAAGATAATTATAATGACATAGGTTGGCGTTAACAAAATTTTTTTAAAATTAAAAACTAAACCACGCAGGTTTAGTGAATAGTATGCAATTTTACTCATGCTATTAAAACAGTTATCAAGAGTAGTTCATATTAAAAGTCTACTAGAAAATCTTATTTTAGTGCTTATTACTTTCCATACTAATTTCGGCTTTTTAATTCTATGGGGGTCGCGGGTCACTTACTTTTTATAAAAGGGGGTCGCCACTCGAAAAAGGTTGGGAACCACTGATCTAGTCTATATTAGATTATGTTGGGCTACTGTTTGGCTACCTTAAAAAGTTAAGTCACCGCTAAGTTCGCGTCACCACTAAGTTTGTGTCACCACTTAAGTGTCACATCACATGTCACCAATTTTATATATATATATATATATATATATATATATATATATATATATATATATATATATATATATATATATATATATATATTGATAGTGACGTGAGCATCGCCATTGATCAATACAGAGATCTACTCCATTCATGGGCCTGTTTCGTCTAATAATATTTTTACCAATGTTGTGGTCCACTGTTATCAATCACTATGATGGTCCAACAGCCCACTGTTATCACGGTGGTACACCAGCCCACGGTGGTTGTCCAACAGCCCACTGTATACACCAGACCACTGTGGTGGACCAACAGCACACTGTTAACACGGTAGTGGTCCAACAGCCCACTGTATACACCAGCCTACTGTGGTGTTCCAACAGCCCACTGTGGTGGTCCAACCGCCCACTATGGTGGACCACCAGCCCACTGTGTGGACCACAAATCCACTGTGTGGACCACCATCCCACTATGGTGGACCACCAGCCCACTGTAACCCCAGAGATTCACGATCAGGAAGTCAAGCCACTCTCGCTCACCACAGCTCATATCGACTGATGTACGCGAGTATCGAGCTATCGATCTCCAGCCCTGTTGCCTGTTGCTGGTCCATCCTTCCCCCTCCCACTCCTCTACAGCTTCTCTGGTTATTACTACCCCCTTCCCCCCCCCCCCCCAACCCCATCAATACAGCAATCCGTCACGTTTTCCCTACCTCCCCTTATTTTTTCCTATACCCCCCCCCTTCATATTACATTTTTCCGCACAAATTCACCGTTCTGTCCCATCTCCCCAGTAGTAATGTATTTTTAACTTTAAAAAAAAGCCGCACCCCCTCCCCCACCTGATCCCCGCCCCATCGTTGCAACTGGGCTAGTGACTTTCATGTACTGCTGTCCATGTGACCCCATTTCTCCCAGCCACTACCAACAGCAGTTGTTTTTTTTTCTCCACTCACCGATCTAGTCTACACCTATTGCCTGGGATGTTGAACATACGCTGTGGTTAGATTTACTCGTTGTGGAGATGCTTGTTGATTGTTTGCGTCAGACAGGTGTGTTTGCTAAGGTGTTGGGGGGGGGGGGGGAGGGGGGGGGGGGATGGGCTGTGTGTCGAGGACGAGTGTGGATTAAAACAGTGGGCACGTGAGTAGGTTAATGCCAGCTTTGGTCTGTCCATGTTGACCTGGTTAGCGGGGTCATGTCATGAGGTCAAACCTGGGACAAGCGTACGCATCTTCCTCACGTAGTCAAAGAACATTCAAAGTAATGGTCACATTTGTCTATCTTTTACCAAAATAATGGTCACATGTGTCTATCTTTAGCCAAAATAATGGTCACATTTGTCTATCTTTAGCCAAAATAATGGTCACATTTGTCTTTCTCAGCCAAAATAATGGTCACATTTGTCTATCTTTAGCCAAAATAATGGTCACATATGTCTATCTTTAGCCAAAATAATGGTCACATTTGTCTATCTTTAGCCAAAATAATGGTCACATTTGTCTATCTTTTACCAAAATAATGGTCACATTTGTCTTTCTCAGCCAAAATAATGGTCACATTTGTCTATCTTTAGCCAAAATAATGGTCACATATGTCTTTCTTAGCCAAAATAATGGTCACATTTATCTATCTTTAGCCAAAATAATGGTCACATATGTCTATCTTTTACCAAAATAATGGTCACATTAGTCTTTCTCAGCCAAAATAAAAGCTAATGTTCTACCTCAGTACATGTTTATCTTGACAGTTGATGGAAGCATACATTTGATCCAGTAACATGGGGGCAGGGATCTAGCTTCATGTACTATCTGTCCTGATTTTGTTTTAAGTAGGCCTTAAACTATGTGTTTTTATCTTGATGAGCTGAAGGTAATGCAGGTCCACTAGTAATCCTTACAGGTAGTTTTTAGTTCAGGTAATGCAGGTCGACTAGTAATCATTACAGGTAGTTTTTAGTTCAGATAAAGCACGTTGACTAGTAGCATGTGTAGGTTGCTGTTCTACTTGTGGTGAACTGACCTAGATTCATATGTGTGTGTTGTCACTGTGTGGCCATGTGCTAGTTTCATGTGTGTGTTGTTACTGTGTGTGTTATTAGTATGTGTCATCACTGTATGTGTTGACACTGTGTGTTATTAGTGTGTGTACTATGTGTATCACTATATTATTGTTAGTGTGTGTGTGTTGACACTGAGTGTGATCACTGTGTGTGTTGTTACTGTGTGTGTTGTTAGTGTGTGTGTTGTTAGTGTGTGTGTTGACACTGTGTGCATCATCACTGTGTGTTGTTACTGTGTGTGTTGTTAGTGTGTGTGTTGACACTGTGTATCATCATTGTGTGTGTTGTTACTGTATGTGTGTGTGTTGTTACTCTGTGTGATCACTGTGTGTGTTGACAGTGTGTAGCCAAACAAGTTGAGTGTCCATTTAACAGCCCAACTTCCTAGTACCCACTTGATTAATGACAAGCTGATACATTGACATTTGACCTCCCTGACCAGCTTCAGGCTGATTCATCACTTGTGCTTGTTTATTTACCTTGTGTAGTAAACAAACAGTGATGGACATTCTTGACATTTTATATACCTTTCTACTCCTGTTTACGTTCCTGTTCCTGCAGGGTTCAAAAGATGAATGACATGTTGACATTACAGGCGGTGTCTGATGTCATCTAGTATTACACTAATCCCTTACAAAACCTGTTTAGCCTTGGCCGTAACACAGTTGTTTTGTTTTTGTTTATCGACCGATCCTAAAAACTCTTACGCTATTGATGCAGTTAATCTGTTTTTAAAAAACTGTTAAATCTAAGTTTCTGTAGACAGTAGTTTTCTCTATATTAATCTGTTTATCCTTTGGTCACTGTTGATGTCTGTACATGAATCTGTACATGATCCTCCTTACAACCCCTGGCCCTATGGTAATTGTTGATGTCTGTACATGACCCCCCTTACAACCCCTGGCCCTATGGTAATTGTTGATGTCTGTACATGACCCCCCTTACAACCCCTGGCCCTATGGTAATTGTTGATGTCTGTACATGATCCCCCTTACAACCCCTGGCCCTATGGTAATTGTTGATGTCTGTACATGAATCTGTACATGATCCCCCTTACAACCCCTGGCCCTATGATTACAGTCTTCTTCTCTCCTCCACAGAGCCCCCCTCCCAAGTCAGGCTCCCAGTCCAAGAGGGAACAAAAAAGACGCCCCAAGCCTAAAGATGGCACCATGCTGTTCTGTGGGGTGTGTGGGGATAGGGCCCTGGGGTACAACTTTGACGCCATCAGTTGCGAGTCCTGCAAGGCTTTCTTCAGGAGAAATGCTCTCAAGGCTAAGGTCAGTTACACAGACATGTTCATTAACAGCCTAGGTTTACATTTAATTAATTAACTTACAAAGTTTTTGTGAAGTATCATTTAAGTTACACAGACATGCTCATTAACAGCCTAGGTTTACATTTAATTCATTAACTTACAAAGTTTTTGTGGAGTATAAAACTACTATAAACTGGGGTTTGTTTTTTTTTGTTTTTTTTTTTTAGAAACTTTTGTGAGATATATAATTAATATAAATAAATGTTAGCACTTAATTGATTATAGTTAATTTTTATTCTATGATATACTTTTAATGCACTGGATAATAAGTAGTAAACAATATATACTTTTTACCACATAATACTTAATACCTTGTATAAGCCATAACTATTTTGACATTCAAAAGCTATAAACCAATTGGTTTTACAATACTATACTCAACACAAAAATTTATCAGGAAACGTAACTCACTTGACTAATCAATCAAGGAAACGTAACTCTAACCAAGGCCATTTTTTCCCTTTGAAACAGACGTTTTTACCTTCTCCATTCCAGCCCTTTACCTGTAGCTTTGAAGGAAATTGTAAACTGGACGCGCACACACGCAAGTTCTGTTCTGGATGCCGGTTAAAAAAGTGTTTTTCTATTGGGATGAAAAAAGAATGGATCTTAAGTAAGTTTTTTTTTTTTTTTAACCTTCAATAAAATAAAATAAAAATTTTAAATCTGGTTCAGGGTTGATGATAACAAAAAATAAAGAATCCTCTTTAGACCTAGCAATCCATTAGGTAGATAAAGTTGGTAAGTTTGTTGATCTTGGCATATGAAGGGATGGTGTGGTCAGCATTATGCCATACTACCTTTACTTTCCTCAGCGTAAGTTAGGTACCCATCAGAGCTGGGTGGACTCAGGGATGTTCCACCATCACTAGTCCAAACCAAGATCCGAATTAAAAAATTAGGGCTAGCAGCCAATGCTCTATCATTCAACCAAGAAGTCCCTAGGGTTGATGCTAAAATATAAAAATCAAAATATAATTACACTGTCATTTATTTACAACAACATAAATTCTTGAAGACCGGAACAAAATACCCAGAAAATATTTACTCTGTTTGCTCCATTGTGTGGCCAAATCAAATTGTTAAATCATATATCGAGGTCATAACACTTGAGCTGCCTTTTTTTTTTTTTTGCTTACTTCCTGCAATTTTCCAGTAGAGATGATTTTGTTAGCTTTAGATTTTTATTTTTAAAGGCATTGGCAAAATGGAATTTTTTTAACACAATGGCACATATAGAGACTGTCTAAACAGTATTTAATTTTTTTTAATATTTAATCTAATCTATGCTTTTAGAGGAAAAATTGAAGTATTTTAAAAACAATGGGAAAATGTTAAGTTACATCTTTTTTGCAGTGTGGGTAATTTTTAAGAAGCTAGGAAAAAATTAATTAGGGCAAAATATATTTTATCCATATTTTTTTGTTTTTATCATATATTAATATTCATGTAGCAATGTTAAGATAAGGCCCACGTTTCTTTAATGAATATAAACTTTCCAGTTATAGATTTGATTATTTAAGTTTTATCTATCTGTTTTGTGAAATATTTATGGAATCAACTGCTAACTAAATGTTGTTGAATTGTGCAGATGAAGACCAGTTAGTGAAACGTAGACAGCGCCAGCAGACGCGCCAGCTTCAGCAGTCCCCTGGCGGAGGCTCCAACTCTGAGATCCAGCCCTGCTCCTCCACATCAAACGATCTGATGGGCGAGGACAGCGGGATGTCCTACCTCCACCCCGGGCAGCTCCCTCTCCCCCGCCACCCCCACCTCATGTCCACCGGCCAGAACGGCGGTGACAGTGATTTCATGACACTCAACCCCTACTACGACTCCCGCTCTTCTTCAACCTCCCCACTCAAGCGCCACTACATGAGCTTTGACGGCTCCGCTTCCCCCACGTCAACAAGCTCCCCCCCATCACATATCCCACACCACATGGCGCCGCTGATGCCGAACCCCCCTCTACCACACCTGCGCACCCACACCCTGGAGCCTGTCACCAAGATCCCTAAAGTTGAGTACTCCTCCGACGAGGACGACTACTACTATGGAAGCGCTTCCAACAGTGTCAACCCGCTGAGCGAGACCGTCTGCTCGTCCGACGAACTCACTAACAGCTCGTTCGTCAAGTCTGAGATCTCGGATCCAGTGGAAGAGAACGAGGACTACAGCATCCCCCTGCACCCACAGATAGACAGCAGCCTCAAGGAGCTGAGTAAGATCTACGACGAGATATTTGAAGCTGCTTATACCCCAGACCAGGTCCCCAAGTTGACGGAGAAACCCAAGACAGCCAGTCAGCTCTTCAACATGACTGACATCTTTATACGACGTCTGATTAGATTTGCGAAGCATATCCCAGAATTCAAGAGCCTGTCACAGACTGACCAGATTCATTTACTCAAGGTACATGCACATTTGTCTTCATTTAGATAATTTATTCAGATAAATTAACACAGTTTAATCAAGCTTAAGTAAATTTGTGGTTAAAGTAAATTAAAGAGTAAAACTGAAAAAAGGTTTTGTTAACTCACTTGCTTAGTTAATATTCAAAATTTTGGTTTTCCTGAAAAATAAAAATAAAATTTTTTTAATAATAAAAATAATAATAAACTCTTTATTCTAGACCTCTAATGGTTAAAATATTTTTTCCAGGGCGGTATAATGGAAATGTTCGTCCTGCGCTCAGCAATGGGATTTGACTCGAAGAGCAATGGATTTAAATTTAAAATGCTACAAGGCTCAAACCCCGACGCCCCTAAATTAGAAGGCAAGGTGGACTCGTCAGTCATCAACAGCACCTTGGGCAGCTCAATGTTCATCCAGCACATCACATTTGTTAGACAACTTCTAGAAGTTTCTGGCAAGGATAGAACGGTGCTCATGCTGCTGTTTATCATAGAACTCATGTCCCCTGACAGGGCCCATCTGGTGGAGACCAAGCAGGTTATGCAAAGCCAAAAGCGGCACTCCATGTGGCTGAAAGCTTACCTCGAGTCCGTGCATACGGTCGCCAAAGCTAACGCCGTGTACCCCAAACTTCTGGAGAAGTTACAGGACGTACGGAACTTGGGTCAGGAAAGCTGTCAAATGGCGTCGCATTTGGACATAACAAATCTAGAACCCCTGCTGGTCGAGGTGTTTGATCTGAACAGATGAGACCACCAGACATAGGGGAAAATTTGGCTTTTTGATATTTCTAACGGAAACAGTCTCAAGTTTAGCCTGCTTTTGTACAAATAAAACCATGTTGAGCTGTGAAATACTCAGATGTGTCGTCCCAGGGGCGCTGATATCCCCGGGGGATCCTACATTGAAGTGGGTTTGGTTGCCGCAGCATACACCAACCTCGTTTACCTCTTCTGTTGTTTCAGTTTTTTTTTCTGTTTAAAAAAAAAAAAACTACGAAGATACATTTTTAAAAACTATTTGGTCATGTGACATTTCAAACTTTTTTCAAGACCTTGCAGTGATGTATAAAGTGCATAATTCTTGCCCAAGGACATCCGAACTATATGGATCGAGTTTATTAATGCCTTAAAGTGATTTGACAGCTTTTAATGTTTGTGCTAAAAAGGGTTTGTGTTTTAGGTAGTTGGTTGTTGTTTTTTTTAAATCCGAGATTTTATGTCTGGCTCTTCTCTCTGTAAGCCTACAGTCCAGTATCAACAGCCTATGGAGTGACCATGTACTGTAGCCATGCATTTGATGCAGACAGTGCGCAATGCTGTGGTGGACTAGAGCAAGAAATCTAGATTTTGATATCACTGTGTAGGTCCTTACCTCAGTCATGTATTGTGTAGGTCTATACCTCAGTCATGCTTTATGTAGGTCCTTACCTCAGTCATGCTTTATATAGGTCCCATAATATCCATAAGGGTTTTGTCATCCAATTTTTTTTATGTTGTTCCAATCTTCATATTTAACCATTTTTTCTAACCCCCTTTTATTATAGTTTGCTAACATTTGCATGAACTAAGAAATAACACTTAATATTTTACTATATTATTAATTAAATACATTATCATAAATTTTAAGATGGACAACCTTTAACTCATTCAATGTAATCAGACTTTTGACTAAAAACACATTTATAAATCTATATAAGTTAAGGTTTTAACCCAATTTCTAAAAATTATTGTATGTTTATTGGTGCTTGCCAAAGTGGTATGTATGACGTGAGGTACCCACTGTTGTCTGTTATAAACTGCATAGCCACATGGTTTGATATTAATGAGTAGTGCCACATACATTGGCTGTGCATTGGTTTGCCTTTCCTTTCGCTGAGATATTCACAAACCTCACTGCCACCCTATTAGTTAAATCAGTGAATCTGTAGAGCTACATCAAGAAATTTTTCTAAACTCCAAACTGGTCAATGTATTCATTTTGGCAATATTTTTCCCATCCAAGTTTCAAACATTGTTACCTACTTTAAGAAAAAATATTTAAAATTTTTAGCTCGTAACAATATAACATGGATTTAATTCTGATTCTGTCAAGTCTGATAACATTGGCTAATATTTTTAGTGATGTTATCGTTAAAAAGAAATTAATTTTAAAATACTTTTATGAGTAGTGCTGGTCATTCCTAGTGGTTCAACAGTGAAGGTCAAGAAAATGAGTTGACAAAACTCTACTAACAAGTTTAGATTTTTTTTTGGTTGTAAACATTGAAGAGATGTCAAATAAAGTTTGTTATGGTTTAGTGCTGTAGAAAGGTGAAGTTCTGTGCCATACATTTTCAGTGCCTAATGAATGAAGAGAGAACTAGCTGTTTGGGTTCCTAATCTATCCTTAACTTTCCTGTAGGAAGGTAGAAGCTGTTAAAACACTGCAATGTGTGACATGCTTGCTAAAAGGTGTAATCCAGTTCAATAAAACCTTTCCCATACATTTTACAATGCATTAGTTAGATGAAACTTATCCTAAAGTTTACCTATCCCAGGGTCCCTTAGTTAAAACATTTGACTCCAAATGATTCAACTCTTCGCCTGAACTCAGTTCTTAAAGCTTTCACAGCCAAACCTCCATGCCATCTTTATAAAATAAAACATTGATTAATTATTAATTGTACATAAATGTTGCATCTTATACCTCAAAGATTAATGACTAAACCTGTACAATGAGATAATCTATAAATGTCTATAAGATGTTATTTCCCCTCACCACGTTGTTTAACTTATAACTGTGGTATGGCTTTCAATATACCGGTATTTATGTCATGTAGTTTTGCCTACATCATATTATGTTAATTATGCATTGGCTTGATACGTTTGATGTTTTCATGCACAAATCTCGGTGCGGTTCATCCCTCCTGTATGTTAAAAACATCACAACTTTGATCTCTTATGTTACTGTCTTGTCTAACTTTAATATTGTGGTTGTGTCTGTAAATAATAGCAAGAGAAAAAAAAATTACAAGTCAAGGCAGTTGTTTTTGGAAAGTATCCATGGCAACACCCTCTGTTTACAGTGCTACATCAGAGACCAATTTACCCTGCTCATCTCATCAACTGCTCAAAAAAATCATTTTTTTTTTCTCCAATCAACTTTTTCCTTACTTCAGCCTATTAATAAATTATTAAATTTTTAAAGTGAAATCATTCAGTTCTTTTAAAAAATTTACTGTACACATTAACTGTAGCATTGTAAAAAGTTAAATATTTGTTTTATTCACTACTTGCTAACTTATCTTTTTGTTTAACTAAAGTGTGTCATTGCTTTCTGCTTCATTTTGTTATTAAACTTTTCACATTTTACTATAACTAGCGGGTCCTAATTCATATTCATAATTTTTTATTGATTCAAATTAGAATGAAGAAAACAGCTTTTACACTATAACACTAAGAATGAATCAGCAATTTCTTACACTAGATGGTGTCAGGTTTGATTGGTCTGTTTCTCCATTTTTTTGTCAACACATTTAAACTGGATAACATTTTTTTCTTGGTATAAAAAATATCTGGAAAAAAAAATCTCATTAAATCATGCTAGCTGTACTGTTTTCATTTGAAATGATATAACAATTTTGTTACTGTTCTAATATTTGTTCCTATACTATCTGTAGCCAAGTTTTTAATGTTTTCATGTAAATTTGTTATTTTTAATTTGTTGACAGTGGTTATTGTTGAAGTATTGAATTTACTGAACATGTTGGTGTCATTTTGTAGATAGGCTGTGTTAGATTTGATATGGAAAACATCTTTTTAACTAATATACATTGCCTCCTGTATAACCCATCATTTTGTTTTGCTAAAGTGACTACACATTATTTACATTTAATTTTTATACACTGTTTTAGAGGTGTCAGATTTGTTCTAGATGAGATTATACCTTGTTACTGTTAATGTACTGTTTATTGAGGGAGTTGGTTTTAGTGCTGATGTATTTTGTCAAGCCTAAATTGAAACCTTCCTGCAACAATTCAGTTCTTTGTTGGTGTGTTTTAAAAAACTTTATTTATTTTGGAAAGATAATTGGTATTTACAATTTTTAATAAAGGGAGACTAATTTTTAACATTTTCAATATATTATTTTGGTATACAATAAAGCATGTTAACATTTTTAAATATTATTTTGGTGTACAAAAAAAAATTTAAAACTCTGTGTTAACCTTTAAAGAATGTTCGACAGAATTTTTCAGCCTTTAAACTGTGATAGAAAACTGAACTCTCTTGAACCTTGTTTTTTTTTTTTTTAGCATGGCAATTAACAAAATGGCAATCTGTATGTACATTTATTCTTAGAATTGTCCCTTGTTAATTTTTATATCACCACAGAGAATAAGCACATAAGTTTAGTCATCACTTCTCAGCTGAAAATAATTACACGTAAATGGTTGCTATTTTAGACTACTGACTATTTCTTGGGCAAACACTTTTATAATTTTTTACATAAAGTTTCAAGCATTTTTCCAACTATAATTCACCGAATGAGGGTATAAAATAGAACAATTTAAAAAATTTTCTTAGGTTCGATTATTTCATAACCACATACATAGAAAAATATTTCTCTTTTCTTATAAACTCATAGCAAACGAATAAGAATATGAATGTATCATTTGCTTGTAAATTTTAGCGTAACACACATGTGATGCTGGTTCAATACATAAAGTAGCCGAGCCTGTCTTTTAATTCAGTACATCAAAAACTGGTTAGTGTCAAGTAAACTTTTATCAGATAGTGAAACTGTTTCATCAGCTTAAACTTGATTTTTTTTTTTAAAACTGTAAACTTTTTTGATCAACTAAAATTGTTTTGATCAAATAAATTTTTTTTGATTGACTAAATTTGTTTTGATCAAGTAAAATTGTTTTAATCAACTAAAATTGTTTTAATCAACTAAAATTGTTTTGATCAAATAAATTTCTTTTGATCAAATAAATTTGTTTTGATCAAATACATTTGTTTTGATTGACTAAAATTGTTTTGATCAACTAAATTTGTTTTGATCAACTAAAATAGTTTTGATCAACTAAATTTGTTTTGATCAATTAAAATTGTTTTGATCAACTAAAATTGTTTTGATCAACTAAATTTGTTTTGATCAACTAAAATTGTTTTGATTGACTAAAATTGTTTTGATTGACTAAAATTGTTTTGATTGACTAAAATTGTTTTGATTGACTAAAACTATAAGAAAGATTGTTTTCTTGTTCTGTTTATCATCTAAGTGCTTTCCTCTGGAATGTTCTTGAAGCTCATGTTGTGATACATTGTCTGAACCACACAAGGAGTAAAGCACTGCACATTTGTGGCTTCATTATACTGGCTAATGTAACTGGAGATGGCTTGGCTCTTTGCTTCACTGCTCATATTTTAGTCGAAGAATATTTTATGTTGTTGTATTGGGGGCAAAACTATTTCAATAACATTAATTTCCAATAACTAATAAATAAAACAATTCAGGGGCTAAATTAATTATTAATAGTAATTTCCAATAACTAATAAATAAAACATTTCAGTTGTTTTGACTTAAAAGCACTTGTTTGAAAATATTTTCAGGTTTTTGGTTTGCTTTTTATTTAAAGTTACTTCCCTTACAAATGCCTGAATTTAAAACTTTTAAGAAATAGAATGTATGACATTGTAAAAAGAATTATCATAATCTTAGTTTAAACGCTACTATTTTATATCTGGCATGACATGCTTTGAAAATAGATTTTTTTAATTGTCCTATAGAAATCATATGAAGAAATAGGGCTCTCCTATAAACATTATCTGTCAATGAAATATGTGACTGTAGGTTTAAACATACCTTTATACCTAGACTAATCTATTTTCATACAATACTAAGTTACTAATGCACTTTATGAAATGGGAATCATTTGCTGTAGTATATCGTGATTTGTCTGTTTTTTATTAGTTATTTGGTATAAGCATATCTGTTGTTTACCTTATAGCACTTGAATTGCTCAATTTCATAATGTTGATTGTTCTCTTTCATCTGTATGCCTCTTATTGAGAAAGATACATTTTTTTTCATTGTGTAGTATTAATCCTATTGAAAATGTACTAATTTATTTACATCTATTTATCCTGTTATCAATTTTTTGACTGATATTTTGGTGTGTCTATGTCTTGTTTGATAGCCCAGTGGTAACGTGAATACACCAAGAAATGGCATATACACATTTGTTTTGTTGTGAGGATTGTATCTATAGATAACCCCCCACCCCTCTGTCATTGTAAAAAAAATAATAATTCTTGGCTGATTCATTAACTACACTGGTTATATTGTTGGGTTGTTGTTTGTTTTTTATTTTAAAAATGAAAGTTATAATGAATTGTAAATTAGCCTTTATAGACAAACTACTGAAAACAAGGCCTGTTTTGATTGGTTAGATGTTACAGCATGATTGGTCAGTAGCCTTTCAGCTTCTGATTAGTCACTAGCTATACATTATCTGATTAATCAGTGGCGTTTTGATTGGTCGGTAGTGTAACATCATTTGATTGGTCGGTAGTGTAACATCATCTGATTGTTCAGTGGTGTGACAATAGGGCCTGCTCAAAGTAAAATCTCCACAAAAATTGGATGTACATGTAATCATACAAATCACATGGTCAACCTACTGAAAATGTATTTCCCCTGATTATTGTTACATTGCTTCAGTGATTCTCATTAAGTTTATTACATAGTTAGTTTTCTATTATGTTAACAAACCAAGCAAATAATTAAACTTTTATCAGAATAAAATAATTTTAATCATTTTTCAGATAATAATTTAATAATTTAAAACTTATAGACAGTTGTTTACCTTTTAAAATTTTGATTTCGCTGAATTTGATTTGAGATGACTAAATTGTTTCCTGGTTATGTTGTAGCCGTTAGTCCATGTTTTAGAGTAAACCACTTGTTGTGTACAGGCCTGGGGTTTACCAGACTACAACTTCCGGCCTAGAGCTGATCCAAGGTGTCAAACATTTGATGTGTTAGTCATCTTAAGTGCTTGGCTGTCCTTGTGTTTTAGTTGATTTGTGATTGTTAACAGAGATTTTTTTATTCTACTTCTGTTCAAATTTTTTTTTATTTATGTAGATGACATTTGTTACATTCCTGGCTCTTGAGAAATAGATCATATAGTAACACAGCAATGGTGCGTCGAGTTTTTTGATTGGTTGATTGATAGATCAATAATATAAAGTAATATTAAATATATTGCTCGGCTCTTGATTGTATAGCATTTTATAAGGGTTTAAGGTCGACATTGAGAACAGCCTGGTATCAATCAGAACAAGTTGCAGAAAGGCGATAAGGCCGATAAAGAAAACAATCTACCCTCTTTTTAGTTACCTAAAATCGTAAAATGTGTTACTATCTTATGTGACAGCCCCTTGATGAAAACGTGATGATATAGTCAATACAGAAAGAGATGTCCACGCGCAACAAGATGAAACAGCAAATAGACAATGCAGCGTTGGCTACTACCCTTGTAAGGGGAGCAATAAGGTCCAAGCGACTGGTGACAGCCGAGACGTCTTATATATACAAAGGTTCCCGGGAAGATGCGCAACGGAAAAATGCGCAAACAGAAATTTTGTTTATGTGGGTAAGTGGGTAGGTTGCTGAGTGAATATATAGATGGGTAGTTAGGTAAATGCTTGGTTGTTGGTGTAGATTATTTAAATTATGTACATTTTGCTTGCCTAGTTGTAGTTACAAAACTCGAACTTTTAAACTGGTTTGGCGTAAGGTTCATTGAGCACTGCATTAAAAAGTTCATGTGTTTAATAATGTAGATATAATTGGAGAAGTTCTAGAGTATGTATAAATGATGTATAAATAAAACTTAATTTCTCTATGTATCTTTATAAAAAGATAAGTTTATGAAATGTGTTTGGAGATCTAATTTCTGAAAGCTTTCACCGAACGAATGCAAAAATATATCAACCACCATAGCTCTTCTTATACCCAGACTACATGCTTGTTATGACGTCATAAATATGGTTGGTACTGATAACTGCAGTGAGAGGTTCCAGAAAAACACAAACGCAATTTCAGCTTCTTAATTTCAATGGTTGATACTTTAGTCTTGAATAACATAGTAATCTTGAATCTCAATCGTGGCAAGCCTTAGGGGCCAGCCCTACCACTTTACAAAACAACTGTCCTATCTCTCTGGCCCTCACCACCCAGCTTTTCCCCAATTCGCATCCCAGGTGAGTTGGGTCAGACTAAGGTCAAAGACTGGCGACCGGTACTTCCCCTAGCCTGCAGATCTCTAGGTGGGGCGGGGATTTCTTCATATCGGGTTACACTGTCCTAGTTCAGGTGTGGGATGGGAGGGAGGGGGCGGATAACCCACTAGCATCAACAATGGACTCATTTATAACAATGCTGGCCATTGTGTTTTGTTCAGTACATGCGTTGGTTGTGTGACGCTTACCTTGTCATGTTAAAATGAACGAGCCGACCCGCGGCGTATAACACGCCGCTATTTAGTTTTATTTTCTACTTTTTAGTAATTCATAATTTGTGAATTCGACAGTACCAATGCTGTCACCGAAAATATTTGCTTTAAAACACTAAAACACTCCTCCCCCACCCCCTTGAAAGCAGCCTCCTCTATGTTACCTCCCCTAAGTTTAAAATAGTTTCAAAACAAATTATCTGCCTCTAATAGCCGTCACGAAACCCGGCTCTACAATTGTAAACATTTAGCGTGAACCACAGCTCACCAGACCATGTGGGGGTGGGGGTGGTTGCGATATGCCTAGAGAGGAAAAAAGGGGACTGCTAGGCGCGCTTACAGCTTCAATGGTGTTTTCTAACGTCTCCAAGAAGAGAATTATATATATATATATATATATATATATATATATATATATATATATATATATATATATATATATATATATATTAGGGAGGGGGGGGGGGTTCCCCAATGGGAAGAGAGACCTATGGTAAGATGGTATTGACCATTATTCTCTCAAATCCGTGCACCTTTGCGTGGTGACAAAGGGGTCTTATAGACCTGAGCAAAACTAACTAACATCTAAACAACACCAATATTAAACTAAAAATGAAACTTAGTAACACCCAGGTAATACATTTATTGATCTTCATTTGACGTTACAAATATATATATATATATATATATATATATATATATATATATATATATATATATATATATATATATGTTTTAAAAGCAACAGCACAAATAAAGACCTGGCCAATCTTTCATATTCAAGGAAACATCACTTGAATTCCTAATACAAATAAAAAATGAAAACAAATCCTTAAACTTACATCTCCATACAGAATTATTCACCTTGGTTACATAAAACTAAAAATATATAGATTCTAAGTGTGAATAATAAACCGGCATTTACATATCTCAACTTTACACAGGTAGGCCCTATATGTCATTTCCTCAAGTCCTACACTACTGCTCTGCTTAATTTCAGAATTACTTATGTTGATGTTACTCTTCCTAATCCTAATTTTATTCCTTGCACTGTTACGTAATCTCAGAATCGCCAATTGAAATATCAATATCCCTAGTTATTATTTTTCTACTTGCACGGCTACGTAATCTCAGAATTACAACAAGCCAGCTAGACATTCCAACGATAGGAAGATTTCCAGCCACTGGAATAAAACATTGAGCCACTGGTACAAACATCAGGGTCGGACCACAGAAACAAATCTCTGGTCACCAGAACAAAGCACTCATCTACAGAAACAAATCTCTGGTCACCAGAACAAAGCACTTATCTAGAGAAACAAATCTCT